CCAGCTCTCTGATGCATAGCAAGCAATTTTGAAGACCATAGTCTTGATCAGGTGTACTTTAGTCTTAAAACTGACTTATGCTGCTAGAGGTACACTATTTATCTATAAGTTTTTGGTGTAGAAAATGACTTGTATATTGTTAATTACTTCATATCTTAAGTGTGTATATGTTTGTTGTTTGTTCTTATTATTACAATATTTTTCTGTCGGTTTCCTATGAAAAGATAACTTGTGGGTCACTGTGATGAGGGAAGCTATGCTACTGGTGTTTCAAATGCTGGAAAAGTCAGCCATGGTAGACAGGTTTCAGCAGAACTCTCATAATTATATAGACTAAGAAGCAGGATTGACTATTCCCCTTCTAAAATAATGATCCTTGAAACCTTATGAATAATAAAGACATAATATTTGATTTAGAGTTTAAATTGGAAGCCACTTAAAATGAGGAAAAAAATGACAGCATCCTTTAATAATTGGAACATGTAATGTTTTAAGTATGAATATAGGAAACTGAAGACGTAAACAATGAAATAGAATGCATGGAGATCAGGATCATTTTGAATCAGACAATTATATGACCTATTAAGCTAAGAAAGAAAAACTCAAGAATAGTGTTGCATTCACTGTAAAATAGTATAACAGAATGTCTAAAGAGCTGTAGTTAAAGAATAAAAAACGGAAGAATTTACTTGATATTTCTTAAATTTGAAAGGACTAAAAACCAAATTAAAGCTCTGAGTTACTACACCAAGGAATGCAATGGGCAGAATCTTGAATGATCCAGGAAGCAACAAAAGAACACAGAGTGAATGTGCTAAAAACAATTGGTTGACACTGAAAAAACCTCAGGAAGTACCATATGAACAAGTTGTGTTGTTGTTGTTGTTACATGCAGTTGAGTCAACTATGACTCAGAGTGAAGAAAGAAACAATGGCTCTGAACCTTGTCCTATCCTGAGCCATCCTCACCATCTCTAAAAAGCTGACCCTATTGCCACAGTCACTATGTCAATTCATCTTGTCATGAATCTTCCTCTCCTGTGCTGACCCTCTACCATTCCAATCATGGTATCCTTCTCCAAGGAGTGATCCCCCTTCTCGTGACATGTCCAAAGTATGAACAGGAGCGACTGTTAGGGAAGATGTTCAAGCCACATTGAAAGCATTGGCAAAAAATAAGGCCCTAGGAATCGATGAAATATAAATTGACATATTTCAACTAACGCATGAAGCTCTGACACTTTATGCCAGGAAACTTGGGGGATTATCTACCTAGCCAAGTGACTGGAAGGTATCTGTATTTGTTCGCATTCCCACATAAGGTGATTCAACACAATGTGAAAATTATCTAACATCATTAATATTTCATACAAGCAAAATATTCCTTAACATCACTCACAAACAACTAGAACAGTATGTTATAAGATAACTATGAGCCACATTTGGAAGCAGGAGCAACATCCACTTTCTAAACAACATGCCTCCTGAAACTCTATGAACTTTGATAAATGTTGATAGTTATAGAGGGGCTTCAGGCCTTTTGTTCCTAGGGTCACTATGAGTCATGCCCGACTTGAAGACAATAAAAACCAACAACATGTGTCAGATTCAATACAAAGTGCTTAACAACAACAAGAACAATCAAATTAATTGAGATGGATGTAGCAATGAATTTGGAAATTTCACTATGATCAAGAAAGAAGAAGGAAAGAATATAGTACACATCCTTTGGAACCAAAGATTCCCATGCCATTCACAATTCACACTGACATGTATACAAGAACAGTAACAGCCTCAGAGGAGAACATAATACCAAGATGAGATAGCCCTGAATTGAGATTCCTGCCTTACAGAGCCAGAGTCAGGGACCTTCATCCAAACTTACTGGCTACATTTGAATGTCAAGTGCCTGCAAGCACACTTGAGAAACTACTCTGAGGAACTGTAAATTTGGCAGCTGTCAAGACTGAGAGATTGTATCCAACTGTCAGCCTGCTTTGTAACCTATTAAATTCCCTAATAAGCCTCATCACCATGAGTATGGTGCTGTGAGTTCTATGTGGTAATTGCAACATATTCTGGACCCAGCAGAGCAATGAGATTGGTGTTGGAATTAGCGGCAGTAGGTGCAAGAACATGGGTGACCATGGCTGATGTTACAGGTACTGGTTTTGTACTGTGGATGTTGTTGATGAATGTTCTGCTTTGTGGAGTTAGCAAATGACAGGTATAGTCCTTTCAGTGCTGCCTACACTAACTGTATACTTATGTTAATTAACATAAGAGATATTCTCCAACCCCTATCTTCCTCCAATGGGGGATGTTTATTACTTAGCCATATAGAAATAGTTCAGACCCCAAAGGGTCTGACTTACTCATTCTAGAAATTGTTACCGGGACAACCTTTTCCTTGGAAGGATTTGTGAAATGGAATAGTAAATGACCTGCTGCTCCAAGACTCATGCTGAAAAGAAAATCCCTAATTTTTTTTCTTTTTTGTCAAGTCTTTTACTTCTCCAACCACCTCCTTCCCTCTGTCCACTCCATATTTAACAACCTGACTTTGTTTTTATAGGAGTTTTTCTTCCATTAGGTGAAACCAGATGCTCATAGACTTTTTGATGAGGAACTGCTCACAACTTCCTTGGTGACTTGCTTTCAGTCCTATAGCCAACACGACAGATATCTGCACAGCATTTGAAGATGAACAAGCATTGACTGGTGATCTTATCACAGAGTGGCAGGTTGATCTTAGTTAAAGATCTGAGTGGTGGCAGGTTAATGACTGATCAGCAATATGGTTACAATAGCTGAGGCGGAGGTTCAAATGCAGCAATACATGGAGAATAATGAGCTTGCAAAGAGGCATCTATGAAGTCCAGGTTCATGAAGCACAGCACAGCTTATTCTAATTATCCATCTGACCTGGGCTTCTTATCTATGGAAAGAGACAGAGGACCTGTATTTAATCCTCCTATCAAATTTATATCAAGAGTCTGAAGCAAGGAGCAATAGATGCTGCAGAGATCCAAATCAATACTCTATAAACAGCCAAAACATCAGATCTTGGAGGTCAGGGTTGATTGACGAGCCAACTGAACTATTTCTTATTGATGCTGGTCGTGCTGAGGTCCAAGGAGTAGGGCAGAAGATAATACTCAGTGTCACGAGTATGATGGACTTGCAGTGGCTCAGGCCAATGTGGGTCCATAACACTGATCATAGCACCAGTGGTTCCAGGTCCTGCAGACACACAGATGTGAGTTGCTAAATCAACCAAAGGATACCCTCCATATCTCCCTGTGCATCATGTGGGGTGAGTGCTTCATCATCAAAACACAGACAGTTCACTTGACAGGGATATACCATTCCATCTGGATATACTCGAGTTGGGATCGTGAGGCTACAGGCTGTGAGATAACAGGGGCCAGACCACAAATCTGCAGCCACCTGATGTTACAGCTCCTTAAAAGTGTAACACTTTTAGACCTGGGGGGAGTCTGTTCACAATTCTCAGGTTCCCTTTATCATATATAAAGGGGGAGGGCAGTGACACCTACTTCAAAATATAGTATGACCACTTATGGGGGGGTAAAAGTGGCAGTGCTGGAATTGGAACCACTATCCCTGACCACAGAGTCCTTAGTCAGGTGAGGGGACCAGACTTGGGTAGGGGCAATTGGAGGGGGAGTATACTAGCCAGCTCCTGGGGGGTGTTGCCCTGCTCGGGATGGGCTGCCCTCGGCCCCCGGCTCGGAACGAGCCATCGCGGCCCTCTGCCCGGGGCGGGCTACCCTTGGCCCCCGGCTTGGGGTGAGCTGTCGCAGCCCTCAGGGTGAGCTCCTCAATCCCCAGTTTGTGCCATTGTCCCCAGATTGACCCCTGGGTGGGGAAGGAGAAAAAAAAAAGAATGCCTAGGGTATCCATTGTTACCTAGGCCACCTTCTGCCACCCTACCCCCCAATAAACCTGAAAGCAACACCCTCAAAGCCCTTCTCTTTGTAACTCACAAGTTTGTTCTCTCTAGGTTTGCTCCCTTTCCTATAGGTCACCTTAACTCTGAGTTTTACTCCAGAATTGACCCTGAACCCAATGCCAGTGACTAAAAGGCAATACGATTGACAGCTAAGGAAACAAAGGAACGTGGAGCCTCTGGGTTCAACCAGCCATCCCCACTGGACCCATCTGGGAAAACACTTTGCAGTCCAGAGGGGAGCAAATGACAGGAAAATATCTTCTAACAGAGCAAGAAGGCAAGCAGCTTTAACCCAAGACCACCAGTAAGGTGATAGATAAAGCGTCCTCCCTTCCCCCCTTTACATCTATGCCCCTGTTCAGCATGAAGCAGCCAGAGAGTCGGCATCCAATTCCCAAATCAATAAGACAGTTGTTAATTACCATTGGAAAATGCTTGTCATTCCTCTGTAGCATCTGATCCCCACTGGACCCTCATCATTTCCTTCACCTGCTCCCCCCACCGACCAAACTGTGCAGCTCTGCAACTGCATCCTGGCCCATCCTCACCCTTCTGCCCCCAACCCTCACCTCCTTGTACCCCCAATATGTTTTTCCCAATTAAAAAAAGGGGGGGGGTGAAAAAGTGTAACACTGAGACTCTTGCTGAAGTAGTGGGGCCTGCTAGAAAAGTCCAGGAGCTGCTTGGGCTACTCAGTCTCACCCTTCGACATTGTGTTGGTTCTCGTTGACTAGGCTGTTCTTTGTCTCCTGGGTATTTTGGTTGAGTTCCTTGCTTAGCCCTTCGTTGAGGAACTACCATTTCCCACACTCTTTTCTCTTCTTCTAGGGTCTGTCTACATCTTCGATGTTAGATGGAACACTAATAGTCATTCTAAGACTTGAGTGGCACGTCAAGCAGGTCATCCTTTTCACTTCAATTTGAAGCATCAACACAGCTTGGTAACCAAAACCGTGAGTGATTCTGTATTCTTCCAGGACCACAGCTTTTTTTCTGAAACACTTATCTTCTTTGTTGGTTTCAGCTGCTTCTGGAAGTTAAACAGAATCTCTACCAAGAACTGAAGTTACTTATTCGTGGCTGCCTCAGTGGAAGGTAAGTGGAAAAACCTGGGTGTTCTAAGCGTCAAGGCTTGCTTGCAACCACTTAGCTCCTGGGTCATCTAGAACTTGGCTTCCTCCTCAGGTGCTCCTGGTGGGACTTCCACAGACAGATGTGGTCCAAAAGACAGATTCACCAATTTTTCATGTACCTTGGAAACTACTCATGTTCACTTCTTTGTTTGGCAGCCTCCTGACATTTCTTGTTCTGGTTCATATCATGCTTCTTGAGTATGAACCAGGCAGATTCTTTTAGTAAGGAACAATCACTACCTTGTGAAAAACACATGGGATATAAACATTTTTGCATCTCTGTGTTATGTTTTATTTCACTTGTACAAAAAATGTGCTTAATAAACACACTATTTTCATAGCTCTGATGGAAGCTAATTTTTGGAACTTAGATGATTTGTTCTTAAATTCGCAATTTCATCTTACTTAAATTCACAGTCAACACCCTTGGTACCAGCAGTCAGGAAATCAGGAGACATATTGCAATGGAAAAGTCTGCCTGTAGGGACCTCATCAAATTATTGAGGGGTAATGATGTCAGCTTGAGGACTGAGGTGCATCTGATTCAGGCCATGGTCTTTCTAATCACCTTCTATGCACATGAGAAATGGGCAGTGAATAAAAATGTCAGAATAATTGATGACTTTGAGCTGTGGTTTTGGAGAAGAATGCCTAACACTCCATGGACTGCCAGAAAGCGAAATAAAACTATCACAAAAAAGGTGCAGCCAGACTGCTTTTTGGGGGCAAAGTTGCTAGAAGGGGCTATTTCTTGGAGAATGACATGATGCTCAGAAAAGCAGAGGGTCAGCAAAGGAGAAGAAAACTTTCAAGTTGATGTGTCTGGGAGTGTGACGATGGCACAAGATAGGACAAGGTTCAAATCTGTTGTTCATAGGGTCAGGGGTACTTGATTCAACAGCACCTAACAAGAACAAATGAGTTGTTCTTTAGTTTGCACTTAAGAATATAGAAATTAAAATTGTTTACCATATATTTCACTACACAGCTGAAAAATATGTTATTTTCAAATAAAAAAAATACAATGTTAATTTATTTGGAAATAGCAAAAGAAAAAAGCCATTTGAAATTTAAAATGTTACTCAGTGATAAAAGAACAAATGAGAACAGTTAAAACTTTCTTATGCTTCCTTCTCCTTTCTTTCATGCACAGCAGAGAAACCATCTAAGGCATTCACATGAACATTTGCTCTCTGAAATGCTATCAATTAAACAAAATGGAATTTATTTAACGCTCAGTCTACTTAATGAGAGATTAAAGCCTCTGTTTTAATTTACTATTTAAGAGCTCATGTTTAGATGAGTAACAATTCACTTTATAATAAAGTTCAAAGAGTTGATAAAGCTACTGATTTGGTATGATATCAAAGAACTTAATTTGCTTCATAATTTTTATGTTTGTTTTTGTCTGCTATCTTGAAACTGTAATATTCACCAGTATCTTTTTAAACTCTTCTTTCATGTACTTTATTTTTCTGAATGTGATATTAAGTCTGTAGAATATCTAAGATTAGTTTAAATCTTAATAGACTTTTTCCACCATTCAGTTTCTTAGCGTCCTGTACTGTAAAATTAATTCCCTGAAACAAAGTTCACTTAGGAAGATTCATCCCCACCTACCGTGAGCCCCGTGGTGATCAGTGGTCTTGCCTGACAGTTCAATTAGCCGTACTGTCACTCCTAATATCATTAGAAAATATTACACTGTGTAACTCTTTACTACCCATCATAAAGTTTCTACCTACTGGAGCATGTATTGAAACCATGATTCTTCATCCGTTGGTGTTGCAAAAATTAATACTTTTGGCTATCAACAAAAGCATGATACCTACACACAGGCCCTTCAGAAGACAAGGCTAGAAATCTATTTCTGAAAAATTATCTGGTGAAAATTCTATGAAGCACAGCTTCATGTTGACTTGCTTAAAGCTACTATGTAGAGAGAACTATGGATTGGTTCTCCTTTGTCATATAGAGTCCCCTATAAAATGGTGATGGATCTATAGCAAGTGGAATTTTTTAAGTTAATCTGTTAGAAACATGACATAAAAGTGACATGACTCAAAAAATAAAATCTAAGTATTCTTTCTTTAAGAACTAAAAAAAAATCATTTTTTAGTTTCAACTAGTCACCATGCTGGTTGTCTTTGTTCTTTTTGTCTGTTATTTAAATCTGATTGACAGCTGGTTCCCAGGAAACCTCCAAGCTGTGTATCTGCAGTCTGGTCACTAACAGAGCAGAAGAAAACAAAGCCTAATTTTTACTTTCAACCTGTATGCAGAGCAGATTATCCGAGAGGCGGGGCTCTATGAGGAGAATTGTGGCATCAGGATTGGTGGAAGATCTATTAACAATCTGTGTTATGCAGATGACACAACCCTGCTTGCTGAAACTGAGGAGGACCTCATGCACTTGCTGCAGAGGGTCAAAGACTGCAGCCTCCAATATGGATTGAGGCTCAATGTTAAGACAAAGATTCTCACCACTGGACCGATTGGCAGCGTCAAGATGGATGGCGAAGAGACTGAGATTGTTCACAACTTCTGTTTGCTCGGCTCCACGGTCAACACTCTTGGCACCAGCAGTCAGGAAATCAAAAGGCGTATCGCGATGGGAAAGTCTGCTGTTAGGGACCTCTCTAAAGTACTCAAGAGCAATGGTGTCTCTCTGGAGACTAAGGTGCGTCTGATACAGGCCATGGTCTTTGCAATCACTTGTTATGCATCAGAGAGTTGGACATTGACTAGGGAGGACAGAAGGAGAATTGACGCCTTTGAGCTGTGGTGCTGGAGAAGAGTATTGAATGTACCATGGACTGCTAGGAAAACAAACAGATTCAACCTGCAGAGGATTAAACCAAGCAACTCCTTGGAGGCAAGGATTCTGGGGCTTCGTCTGACATACTTTGGGTATGTTGCAAGGAGGGACGGGTCCTTGGAGAGGGAAGTCATGCTTCGGATGGTGGAGAGATGGCGCAGGAGGGGAAGACCCTCTATGAGATGGATTGATTCGGTGACTGGGGTAGTCGGGATGGGTGTGTCGGAGGCAGTGCGATTGGCACATGATAGAGCAGGGCTTAGGGCTGTTGTGCATAGGGTCGCTATGAGTCGCAAAGGACTCTATGGCACATAACAACAACAACAACAACAACAACAACTTTTACTTTGTTTTTTATGCCTCACAGCGTGGAGGCCAGAAATTTCTAATGAAAAACTGTTGACTTCTTCCACCATTCATTTAATGTAAACTTTGTAGCCAGAAATATATTTTTTATTTTTTTATATATATTTTGTATATCCAGTTCTGCAAATGAAAAACTTATGAAGTCCAGGAGATTGAGATTATTAACAGCTTTGATTTGTTTGACTCCACAAACAACAGCCAGGAAACTAAAAGACAAATTGCATGGGGAAAGTCTGCTGCCAGAGACCTCACCAAAGTACTGAAGTGCAATGATGCTAGTCTGGAGACTAAGGTGCACCTGCTATAGGCTGTAGTATTTGCAATTATTTGCTATCTATCAGAAAGTTGTACAATGACTAAGGGTGATAGTAATAAAATTGATGCCTTTGAGCTGTGGTGCTCAAGAAGAGTATTGAATATATGTACTGCTAGGAGAAGTGGCATCCACTTCCTAAACAACATGCCTCTGGGAACTCTTTGAATTTAAATGTCAATAGTTGTATAGGGGCTCCAGGTTTTTTTTTTCATAAGGTCGCTATAAATTGTGCTCAACTCAAGGCAATCAACAACAACAACAACAACAGAAGAATAATGATGTTCATCCTAAAGAGGGTGAGACCAGGCTGTTCCTCAGAGGCAAGGATTCTGAAGCTTTGTCTAACATACTTTAAACATATTGTATGGAGGGATCAGTCTGTGGAGAGAGACATCATGCTTGGCAGCGTGGAGGGACAGCTCCGGAGAGGAAGACCCTTGATGAGATGGATTGATGCAGTGACTAGGGTAATGGAAGTAGGTATGTCAGATATAATAAGATTGGCACAGGACACAGCAGGGTTTAGGGCTGTTGTACACAGGGTCGCTATGAGTTGCAGGTGATTCAACTGCACATGACAACAACAACAACAATCTACTATAATAGAAGTCCTAGGGGACATAACAGCATGACCAACCAAAAGGTTGACAGTTCAATCACCCAGCAGCTTTGATGGGTAAAAGACAAATTTTGGAAACTCTGTGTCATATAAGGGTCACTCTAGGAAGCAAATTTCCAAGTTTATCTTTCAAAAAGCTCCTGGATGGCTTTCATATGCAGTCCCTCAGCTAAAAATTGAACAGTTAATAATTTATTTCACTCTGATCCTTTTAGAAATAGAGATCAAAAATGATAGAAGTTTTTGTGGTATTAAAAAGGAAAGGATCTTAAAACTCACCAAGTATATTGCCTTTGTTCTGCACACGATGTAAATGAGAACCAGAATTCAAGTTCCTACAGTGAGTGAGTGAGTTAGGTAATTAGGAATGTAGGACCAGAATCTTGGTTTTCTTTTACTAGAGTCATATAGATTAGTGGGATAATGTTGTGCTGTTTTCTCTTTACTTGTTTGTTGAAAAGTGCTTTTCTTTCAGATTCCTTTGTGGCCTCACTCCAGAGCTTTACTCAGCTTCTGGGGAAATATAAGCCTTTATACAGCTTCTGGGGAGAAATCTTTACAATTGGAAATTTGGGGGCCATAGTTGGAAGTGTAATGTTCTCTTTCTAGAGAGCTCCTCTTCCTTTGTGAATGAAGTTCCCACACTATTTCTCTCCTCATCTTAAGAAACCATTTGCTAACCCATGCTGCCTTGATGTGGTTAAATATAAATAAATCAATCAAAAGAAATCTCCTTAAAGTTGACTTTAACTCATTTGAACTCCATGGGGATCAGAGTAGAACATGCTTTCCCACTTTTGAGAGAGCAGGAGAGCATGTTAACCACTCATAGCAGCACCTACA